CTCATTTGGCTCTTAACAACCCCCCCCACCCTCCCTTTCTGGAACTAAAACTTCTCCATTTAAAATCTTTAAATTAGTAGAAAAATATAAACAAAGAATTCATGGGGTTTTTAATTTAAATTCCTTAGGGGTGGGGGATTTTATTGAAACCCAATTTAAAACCCAACATTTTGGGAAAAACAAGTGATCAAGGTTATTTTGTAGGCAGGGTATTTTCACATGTATGAGGGAGCTAAAGTAGAAAATTAAGGTAAAGTAAAAGTTTTTATGTGGATGCCAGATTAAGTATAGAAACTATTTTTTGGGTGGATGTAGTGCCGATGACAAAAAAGATTATTGCTGTGTTATGAAAGAAAAGGGAAATTTGGGGCCCCCCCTAATGAAAAAAAAGCTGAAGGGGGGGGTAGGGGGGTTTTCCCCGGGGGGGGAAATAAAAAGGGATTAAATCTGGAGTATCCGAGAGAGTTTTAAGGGAAAGGAAGGGGGACGAATGTTGAATTTTATAGTTATGGGAAAGGGGGAAAAAAAGGAAAAATGAAAGTGAAAAAGCAAGAATTTTTGGGATTTTTTAAATAATGGATGCGAGAAGGGGGTATAATAAGCGTGTATGCACCCGGAGAAGAGAGGAAGCAGAGGAGGGGAGAGAAGGGTTTTGGGGGATGTTAAGGGGAATGTTTAGGAAACCTTTGAACCAAGTGAGAGAGTTTTAAATTTTGGGAGGGGACCTGAAAGCTAAGTGGAGAAAAATTTTAAAAGGGGTGTTTTGGGGGTAATTTGGGGTTTCCAGGGTAAATGATAAAAGGGAAGCCCTTTATTTAACTTTTTATAGAAAGGGGTTTAGTTATAGGGAATACTATTTTAAGAAAAAAAAAAGGATAAAAAAGTATACAAGATAAGATGTAGGGCGAAATGACAGTTTGTTTGTTGGATTTGTATTGGTAGATAAAAAGACTGTTGAGTAGAATTCCCGGTGACATTTTTTAAAAAAAGAGGGGGGGGCCCCAGATAAACAGTTTACTTTTTAGTTGTAGCTACAGAGAGTAAAAAAGGGGAAAGGGGTCAAGGGCAAAGAAGCATCAGGGAAGGGGGAGGTGAAGGTTTATAAACAAAAAGGAGGCAGTTTTGGGAAAAAAAATAAAAAAAGCTATTGGAGGGTAGATGGGCTAATGGAGCATTTGGCAAAAGGGGTGAAGAGGTTTTGGGGTTTGGTTTTAAAAAGTAGGGGTTTTGAGTGTTTTAGCAGAAGTTTGTGGGGGGCAGGAAAGTGGGTGCGGGAAGGGGAAGGGGCGATTGGTGGAATGATGGGAAAGAGAGTGTAAGGGAGGAAAAAAGTTGGGAAATGGAAAAATTTTTTTTTAAAGTAAAAAGGGCAAGGAGGGGAAAAGTATATGGGGGAAAAAAAAGAGAAAGGGTTTTGGAGTGGTGAAGGGAATGTAAAAAAGGACAAAAAGGGGAAGTGGGTGAGATGTTTTCAACAAAATTTTGTTGAAAATAAGAAAAATTTTGGAGTGAGATTAACAAGTTAAGGAAGCCCTAGAGAAAAAATGGATTTGTCAGTTTAAAAATAGGAGAGGAGGTTATTGAATGGAGAGTTAGAGATATTGGGAAGATGGAGGGAATATTTGAGGAATTGTTAAATGTTGATGAAGATGGGGAAGCTGTGTTTTCGTTTTATAGGGCAAGGAGGAATAACATCTTGTGGGAGTGAGGAAGAGCCAGTTGTGAGTGTGGGGGAAGTTCGTGGGGCAGTAGGTAAAATGAAAGGGGGAAAGGGCCCAGCCGGATTGAGGGGAAATAAAGATAGAAATGTTAAAAGCAGGTGGGAATATAGTTTTGGAGTGGTTGGTGCAATTATTTAATAAATGTATGGAAGAGGGAAAGGGTACCTAGGAATTGGCAGAGAGCATGCATAGTTCCTTTGTATAAAGCAAAGGGGACAAAAGAGAGTGCAAAAATTATAGGGGGATAAGTCTGTTGATATACCTGGTAAGTGTAGGGTAGAGTTATTGAAAGAATTAAAAGTAAGACGAGAATAGGATAGCAGATGAACAAGGAGGCTTTAGGAAAAGGTAGGGGGGTGTGTGGACCAGGTGTTTACAGTAAAAACATAATAAGTGAACAGTATTTAGATAAGGCTAAAGAGGTCTTTCGGGCATTTATGGATTGGGGAAAAGGCGTATGACAGGGTGGATAAGGGGGGCAAAGTGGCAGATGTTGCAGGTGTATGGTGTAGGAGGTAGGTTACTGAAAGCAGTGAAGAGTTTTTACGAGGATAGTGAGGGTCAGTTAGAGTATGTAGGAAAGAGGGAAATTATTTCCCAGTAAAAATAGGCCTTAGACAAGGGTGTAGATGTCACCGTGGTTGTTTAATATATTTATAGATGGGGTTGTAAGAGAAGTAAATGCAAGGCTCTTGGCAAGAGGCGTTGAGTTAAAAGATAAAGAATCACACACAAAGTGGGAGTTGTCACAGTTGCTCTTTGCTGATGACACTGTGCTCTTGGGAGATTCTGAAGAGAAGTTGCAGAGATTGGTGGATGAATTTGGTAGGGTGTGCAAAAGAAGAAAATTAAAAGTGAATACAGGAAAGAGTAAGGTTAAGAGGATAACAAAAATATTAGGTGATGAAAGATTGGATATCAGATTGGAGGGAGAGAGTATGGAGGAAGTGAATGTATTCAGATATTTGGGAGTGACGTGTCAGCGGATGGGTCTATGAAGGATGAGGTGAATCATAGAATTGATGAGGGGAAAAGGGTGAGTGGTGCACTTAGGAGTCTGTGGAGACAAAGAACTTTGTCCTTGGAGGCAAAGAGGGGAATGTATGAGAGTATAGTTTTTACACACACTTTTATATGGGTGTGAAGCATGGGTGATGAATGTTGCAGCGAGGAGAAGGCTGGAGGCAGTGGAGATGTCATGTCTGAGGGCAATGTGTGGTGTGAATATAATGCAGAGAATCGTAGTTTGGAAGTTAGGAGGAGGTGCGGGATTACCAAAACTGTTGTCCAGAGGGCTGAGGAAGGGTTGTTGAGGTGGTTCGGACATGTAGAGAGAATGGAGCGAAACAGAATGACTTCAAGAGTGTATCAGTCTGTAGTGGAAGGAGGGCGGGGTAGGGGTCGGCCTAGGAAAGGTTGGAGGGAGGGGGTAAAGGAGGTTTTGTGTGCGAGGGGCTTGGACTTCCAGCAGGCGTGCATGAGCGTGTTTGATAGGAGTAAATGGAGACGAATGGTTTTTAATACTTGACGTGCTGTTGGAGTGTGAGCAAAGTAACATTTATGAAGGGGTTCAGGGAAACCGGCAGACTGGACTTGAGTCCTGAAGATGGGAAGTACAGTGCCTGCACTCTGAAGGAGGGGTGTTAATGTTGCAGTTTAAAAACTGTAGTGTAAAGCACCCTTCTGGCAAGACAGTGATGGAGTGAATGATGGTGAAAGTTTTTCTTTTTCGGGCCACCCTGCCTTGGTGGGAATCGGCCAGTGTGATAATAAATAATAAAAATTTGCTTATGTGAACAGTATTTAGATAAAGACAAGGAAGTTGTCATTGCATTTATGAATTTACGAAAGGCATATGATATTGGATAGGGGAGCAGATGTTGCAAGTGTATGCAATAAGTAGTAAGTTATTAAATGCTGTAAAGAGTTTTTATGAGGGTAGTGAGGCTCAGGTTAGGGTGTGTAGGAGAGGGGGAGATTACTTCCCAGTAAAAGTAGGTCTTAAGGATGTGTAATGTCACCATGGTTGTTTAACATATTTATAGTTGGGGTTGTAAAAGCAGTAAATGCTAGGGTGTTGGGGAGAGGGGTAGGATTAAATTATGGGGAATGAAATACAAAATGGGAGTTGAACAGTTACTTTTTGCTGATGATATTGTGCTTTTTGGGGATTCTAAAGGAAATTTGCAAAGGTTAGTAGACGAGTTTGGGAGGGTGTGTAAAGGTAGAAAGTTGAAAGTGAATATAGATAAGAGTAAGGTGATGAGGGTATCAAACGATTTAGATACAGAAAAAGTGGATATTACATTGGAGGGAGGGAGTATAGAAGAAGTGAATGTTTTCAAATATTTGGGAGTTGACTTGTCAGCAGATGGGTTTATGAAGGATGAGGTAAACCATAGAATTGATGAAGAAAAAAAGGTGAGTGGTGAGTTGAGGTATTTGTGGAGACAAAGGTTATCCATGGAGGCTAAAAAGGGAATATACGAGAGTATTGTGGTACCAACATTTAGGTGGTTGTGAAACATGGGTTGTAAATTTGCAGTAAGGAGGCAGCTGAAGGCACTGGAGATGTCGTGTCTAAGGGTAATGTGTGGTGTAAATATTATGCAGAAAATTCATAGTGTGGAAATTAGGAGGAGGTGTGGAGTTATTAAAAGTATTAATCAGAGGGCTGAAGAGAGGCTGTTAAGGTGGTTTGGGTTTAGTTATTTAGAGAGAATGGAAGAGAGTAGAATGGCTTGGAGAGCGTTATAAATCTATTGGGGATGAAAGGTGAGGTAGGGGTCATCCCCAAAAATGGTTGGAGGGAAGGGGTAAAGGAGGTTTTGTGGGTGAGGGGCTTGGACTTCCAGCAAGTGTGCATAAGCGTGTTAGGAGTGAATGGAGATGAATGGTTTTTTGGGACCTGACGAGCTGTTGGAGTGTGAGCAGAGTAATATTTTGTGAAGGAAGTCGGGGAAACTGGTTAGCCAGACTTGAGTCCTGGAAATGGGAAGTACAGTATCTGCACTTTAAAGGAGGGGGTTAGAATATTGGCAGTTTGGAGGGACCTCTAAACTGTCATATCTGAGCGCCTCTGCTAAGACGGTGATTAAGTACGAATGATGGTGAAAGTGTTGAATGATGATGAAATTTTTTTTTTTTTCTCTTTGGGTCACCTTGCCTTGGTGGGAAGCAGCTGACATGTTGAAAAAAAATTTTCCTTTAGGTTACATTCATGTGCCTTTCACCAATAATAAAAAACATTTTGCATGATCCTGTTTGTTTTATAAACAGATATCGGTACACTTTAGACGAACTTCCTCCCCTACTGCAACGTTTAAAAGTACGAGCTGAATCCTTTGACCATTGGGCTGTCAAGGTGAAGGAAGCTTTAGAAGCAAAGCCAGAAGACAAGTTAGGTATGCAGTTATTTTTTTTTTTTTTTATCATGAATGCTAACCTTACTGGCTTATGCAGTTGAAAAAGTTTCGGGAAATAATGTGAAAATAACTTGGCATGCTTTAGTATTTGCTTCACCTACAAATAAACAAAAAACAGAAATTTGTTTATAAATATATTTTGACATTGTTTTTATCTTTGAATTATCACACAAATTCAATTATATTTTCAGAGCTGCATGGTTTTCTGAATTAATCACACAAATATATTGAGCTAATGTCTTTCAGAATTGAGTGATCTGCGAGAGCTAGTAGAGGAAGCAGAAGCACAGCGGTTTCCAGAGAGTGAATTGTTGCAGACTTTGATTCAAGCAGTGACAGAGGCAGAAAAATGTGCTACTGTTGCTGCTCATCTTGCCACAAAGAAGGTTCGCACCAGGTCAGTATATCTTCTTTCAATAAAACGGCTGTATTCCACCCAAGCGGGGTGGCCCAAAAGGAAAAACAAAAGTTTCTCTTTTTAACGTTAATATTGTATACAGGTTTTGTGGGCGAGGGGCTTGGACTTCCAGCAGGCGTGCGTGAGCGTGTTCGATAGGAGTGAAAGGAGACGAATGGTATCTGGGAGCTGACGAGCTGTTGGAGTGTAAGCAGGGTAATATTTAGTGAAGGGATTCAGGGAAACCAGTTATTTTTATATAGCCCGTCTTGAGTCCTGGAAATGGGAAGTATACTATGCCTGCACTTTAACCCTTTGAGGGTCGACAGGCCCTCTCTGAGACTCGTTCTCAGGGTCGGCCAAATTTAAAAAAAAAAAATATTATCTCTTATGAAAAGATAGAGAATCTTTTCCCGATCATAATGACACCAAAAGTTTGAAATTTGATGGAAAACTTACAGAATTATGCTCTCGCGAAGTTAGCGGTCTTGGCGATGTTTACGCATCGGCGATTTTGCCCACTTTGAGCCCCATTTTCGGCCAATTCCACTGTACTAGTCGACAAAAAACATGAATATTTCGCTAGAACTCCATTTTTTCTATCGAATGAATGCAAGAAACCACCCATTTATCAATTTCAACTATCCAGTACAGTGGTCAGAATTTAGCAATTTTGCCAATTTTCCACCACAAATTTCAAAGATACCAATTTCCGAATAGGGTCCAGAATAAACAAGAAAGACATTCCTGGCACTAAAATGACATTTCCTCTGTTCATTAGTCACGTCTCAAGGCCCCTCTTATATTCTTTTGCTTTCCACTTTGAATTTTTATTTTCACAAAAAATAGAAGATTTACTGTTATGCAGACTACTGCATTAGTGTAAAAAATGGTATAAATAATATAGGCGCACTTGCAAAAGAATATTAGACTCACCAGTTGACGTGTATTGGAACCTTGGCATGATTTGTTTACTTTTGAACTTTGGTAAAAATTGAACATTTCTGCTACTTGAGCTCAATTTCAATGTACTTTTCATTGTAAAACCAGTCAAAATCATCTCAATTTCTGTAATATGTCTTCCATTCTATAAAATGAGACCAAGAAAACTAGAATATGACAATAAATACCATTCGAAAATACAGTGCAAATTCGTTGTTTTATTCCAAAAAAATGGTCAGTTTTTTTTTTCTCATTATGCACTGTGTGCTGCAGGATTTTTTTTATACTGTGCACACTGACCACATACACCCATTCTTTCATATGTAGACCTACCAGCTTTCTCCCACTAGATTTGAGGACGCTAGAATTTAGGCGTACTAGTACGTCAAAAACCCTGGGTCGTAAGCCGTACTAGTACAGCCGAAACCCTCAAAGGGTTAAAGGAGGGGTTTGGGATATTGGTAGTTTGGAGGGATATGTTGTGTAACTTTATACGTATATGCTTCTAAACTGTTGTATTCTGAGCACCTCTGCAAAAACAGTGATTGTGTGAGTGAGGTGAAACATATACAGGAGAAGGGGTTACTAGCCCCTTCCTCCCGTCATTTTAGTCACCTCTTACGACACACATGGCTTACGGAGGAAGAATTCTGTTCCACTTCCCCATGGAGATAAGAGGAAATAAACAAGAACTAGAAAGAAAATAGAAGAAAACCCAGAGGGGTATGTATGTATATATATGCTTGTACATGTATGTATAGTGTGACCTAAGTGTAAGTAGAAGAAGCGAGATGTACCTGAAACCTTGCATGTGTATGAGACAGAAAAAAAAGACACCAGCAATCCTACCATCGTGTAAAACAATTACAGGCTTTCGTTTTACACTCACTTGGCAGGACGGTAGTACCTCCCTCGGCAGTTGCTGTGTACCAACCTACTACCTAGATATATATATACAGTGGACCCCCTTTTAACGATATTTTTTCTCTCCAGAAGTATGTTCGGGTGCCAGTACTGACCGAATTTGTTCCCATTAGGAATATTGTGAAGTAGATTAGTCCATTTCAGACCCCCAAACATACACGTACAAACGCACTTACATAAATACTCTTACATAATTGGTAGCATTCGGAGGTGATCGTTACGCGGGGGTCCACTATATATATATAATTTCCATGGGGAACAGAATTCTTCCTCCGTAAGCCATGCATGTCGCAAGAGGCAACTAAAATGCTGGGAGCAAGGGGCTAGTAACCCCTTCTCCTGTATATATTACTAAATGTAAAAGGAGAAACTTTCATTTCTCCTTTTGGGCCTCCCCGCCTCAGTGGGATACGGCCAGTTTGTTGAAAGATATATAGAACTGGTGTGGGTGATTCAACATAAAGAGTAGTGGAAGCTCTATCCTCCATCCAGTAATTGAGGCCTAGTCTCTGATCATTCAGGCATGTTAGTAACTGCTCCCCTCAGATTGTGATGTAAATTGTCTTTATGTGATTTACACAAGTTTATACAGTAGACTACCACATGCTGCATGGGTTAGTCTTAAAAATCATCTCTTGTAAAGTTCATTCTGCATTTTGTGATTTACATATCTGTATAGATATTTGTATTAATTTTATTTAATCCTCTGCTTCATAAAATTTGTCTTTCTGCCATTTTTTTTTTTTTCTAATTTAAATGAAAAAAAAATTATAAATCTTTGAACATTTTGCATTTTTTCTTTGAAGGACCCGAGGAAGTGGAGAAGCTAAAAGTAGATTAACACTAGAGGAGCTAAGATTATTCCACGAGCAAATAGAATCGCTGGCTTGTGTTGTGCGTGAAGGTGAGGCTGTAAAAGAGCTCTTGACAAGAGTGACAACCTTCCAAGCAGAGGCTATAGACCTGCTCAATCAAGAAATACCAGACTCTGAGGTCATTGCCAAAATGGTTGATACAGGCTGTTCTCTAGATATTGATCTACCAGAGTTGCCCAGACTCAAACATAAACTGCAGCAGGTTAGTGCGTATAATCACTTTTTAATTTGCTCCCTCTGATCAGCTGAAGTTCAGACATGAATTAACTCTTGTCACACAGTGACTAATGATTCTCTTTCAGTCAGCTATTTGGCATAAGCGTAGTTAAAATTGTGTTTACAGTACAGTGGTACCTCTAGTTTCGAACAATTCCCAACTTGAACAATTATGTAAGTGTATTTTTGTAAGTATTTCTGGGGGTCTGAAACGGACTAGTCTAATTTACATTATTCCTTTTGGGAACAAATTCGTTCGGTATTGGCACTCAAACAGCCTTCTGGAACAAATTAGTTTCATAACTCTAGGAAAGAGGGGGTAAAGCGTACATGAGCGTGTTAGATAGGAGTGAATGGAGACGAATGATACTTGGGACCTGACGATCTGTTGGAGTGTGAGCAAGGTAATATTTAGTGAAGGGATTCAGGGAAACCGGTTATTTTCTTATAGTCGGACTTGAGTCCTGGAAATGGGAAGTACAATGCCTGCACTTTAAAGGAGGGGTTTGGGATATTGGCAGTTTGGAGGATTATGTTGTGTATCTTTATACGTATATGCTTCTAAACTGTTGTATTCTGAGCACCTCTGCAAAAGCAGTGATAATGTGTGAGTGTGGTGAAAGTGTTGAATGATGATGAAAGTATTTTCTTTTTGGGGATTTTCTTTCTTTTTTGGGTCACCCTGCCTCGGTGGGAGACGACCAACTTGAAAAAAAAAAAAAAAAAAACTCTAGGTACCACTGTACTTTTATATCTCATGATATTTAACCTTTAAACTGGACAAGACTTGTATGTAGGTAACTTCAAAGGAGGGATGGGGATATTTGCAGTTTGGAGCAGCATCTGAACTGTACTATCAGTGCACTTTTGGAAAGACAGTGATAGAGTGAATGATGGTGAAAGTGTTTCTTCTTTGTCGGGTCATCCTACCTCAGTGGGAGACGACCAATGTACAGTGGACCCCTGGATTACATAATTAATCCGTTCCAGAGAGAGTGACTTATCCTGAATCTGACTAATTCCGAATTAATTTTCCCCATAAGAAATAATGGAAATCCAATTAATCTGTTTCAATCCCCTTCCATAAAGACTTCAGGTAGCAAGTCCTTATCCTGAGTTACTTCCCTTTGTTTTTTAATGCCACTAGGACCAGCTTAAAAGTCACTGGACCCCTTTCACTCAAAAAAGTGTTCCAGAGAGATCTGTTTCTGGCGTATGTTAGGAATTGTGTTGGGAGACAGAACAAGATAGACCTTCAATATGACACTAATATCAGCTCTACGGCTTATTTATCTAGCACAATTAGTCTAATATGACATAATAAACAATATTAATAACATAGAAACATGATATATACTCTAGAATGAATAAAATATGGCATTAAGAATGTCACGAGTGGTGGTGGTTTGTTTGTTGTTGGGTGTATAAGGGCCACTGAAAGATAAGCCTTACATAGTGGTGCTGAAGGTGGCAGTATTAGGCCGTAGGCCTTTATACCTCCAACAACAATGGAGGAGTCAGTTTGGTGTTGTCCTTTTTCTGCCGATTAATCACTGAAGTTACTTGCTACGCTGTTAATGTTACACTTGATTGCTGGCTGGCACTATAGCCTTTATCGACTCCTGCTGCTTTAATATCGTACATATTGCAGAATCACTGAAAAAAAAGGCATATTCTCCCTCTCTCTCGGGCCCTTCCCAAAGGGCTAGCTGGCACTAGAAGCCTTCGGGCCATGGTGGCTTATTAGCAGTTACAAGACAAAAAGAAGGGAATATACAAAATGTATTGTATGAACGCTTGGACTGTCCTCATGGCGGTCAACAATGGCACCAAACTGGCAGAAATGAGTGTCAGGGCTCTGCTCCGGCCACCGACACGTTCCAGACAAATGCTTACACTGAGTTCAGTGACATTCATGAGCCAGTATTTTGCCCGAAAAACATTACTTATTCAGAATATTAAATAGCTTTCCGTGACTACTTAACTGGGGGTACACTGTATTAAAAACATTAAAGTTGTGGGAACTTGGCTGTGTATGGGGTGTGTATAGATAAGTTTTTGTCTCCACCACTGCCTTTTTTCCTTCATCACTTCTTGGGTTTAAACCCTTCTCACCTCATAAACCCATCGTGACAAGTCGACTCCCAAATATTTGAAAAACACACTCTCCATACTCTTTCTCTCCAATGTGAATACCAATTTTTCTTACTAAATCATTTGATACCCTCATCACTTTACCCCTATCTATGTTCACTTTCAAACTTCTACCTTACACACCCTCTCAAACTCGTCCACTAACCTTTGCAACTTTCTTTAGAATCCCCCCATAAGCACAGTATCAACTCCCATTTGTACTTGATTCCCCAAAAATTTAATCCCACTCCTCTCCCCAACACCCTAGAAATTTACTTCTTTTACAGCCCCATCTATAAATATATTAAACAACCATTGTGACATTACACACCCCTGTCTAAGCCCTACTTTTACCGGGAAGTAGTCTCCCTCTCTCCTACACACCCTAACCTGAACCTCCCCTATCCTCATAAAAACTCTTCACAGCATTTAGTAACTTACTACATTTTTTCCCATATACTTGCAACATCTGCCACATTGCTCCCCTTTTTCACTCTATCTTTATGCCTTTTCTAAATCCAAAAAATGCAATGAAAACTTCCCTACCTTTTTTCTAAATACTGTTCATATACATGCTTAAATGTGAACACTTGATCTACACGTCCCCTTCCCACTCTAAAGGCCTCCTTGCTCATTTGCTCTCTGTCTTGCCTCTAATTTTTTCAATAATAACCCTACCGTATACTTCCGGGTTTATAGTCAGTAAATTTCTTCTTTCTTCTTTCAACACACTGGCTGTATCCCACCGAGGCAGGGTGGCCCAAAAGGAAAAATGAAAGTTTCTCCTTTTACATTTAGTAATATAACAGGAGAAGGGGTTACAAACCCCCTTGCCCCTGGCATTTTAGTTGCCTCTTACAACATGCAGGGCTTACGGAGGAAGAATTCTGTTCCACTTCCCCATGGAGATAAGAGGAAATAAACAAGAACAAGAACTAGAAAGAAAATAGCAGAAAACCCAGAGGGGTGTGTATATAATGCTTGTACATGTGTGTGTAGTGTGACCTAAGTGTAAGTAGAAGTAGCAAGACGTACCTGTAATCTTGCATATTTATGAGACAGACAAAAGACACCAGCAATCCTACCATCATTTTAAAAAATTACAGGCTTTCGTTTCACACTCCTTGGCAGACGGTAGTACCCCCCTGGATGGTTGCTGTCTACCAACCTAATACCAAAACCCTCAGTAAACTTATTCCTCTATAATTTTTACAATCTCTTTTGTACCCCTTCCCTTTATATAAAGGAACTATACATGCTCTCTGCCAATCCCTAGTACCTTCCCCTCTTTCATACAAAATATTAAACAAAAATACCAGCCACTCCAACACTATATCCCCCTCCCCTGCTTTTAACATTTCTGTCATGACCCCGTCAGTTCCAGCTGCTTTACCCCTTTCATTCTACTTAATGCCTCACTTGCCTCCCCCACTCACATCCTGCTCTTCTTCACTCCTAAAAGTTGTTATACCCCCCTGGCCACTGCATAAAAATTACGCCTCCTCTTTCTTCATCGACATTTAAAAGTTCCTCAAAATATTCCCGCATCTACCCAATACCTCCAGCTTCCCATCAACTAACTCCCCTACTCTGTTTTATCCAAATTTTTTTTAAATTTTTTAAAATATATTTTTTATTGCTGGGTTGAGTGGCTAGAAGGGGTGGAAGAAACACTGGAGGACAGCACATCTGTGACCGTGGAGTGTGTACGCAAGCTTCTCGACACAGGAATCGCATTACCCCCTCATCCTCGAATTGAAAAGGCCATGGCCCAGTTGCAGCAATTACTTACAAATATGGAAACATGGGAAGAAAAGGCTAGTCAAGTACTGAATGCTAAGTAAGTTCATTTATTTTTACATTAAGGCTTTATGTATAAATTATGTAAGACTTTCATTAACCCTTAAACTGTCCAAACGTAGATCTACGTTTTTTCAACATTTGAAAGTATGTAAAAAAAGTAGATCTTTTTTTCTTTTTTTACATTTGAAATTGTGTAAAAAACTTTGATCTACATTTTTTTTTTCTTTTTTTGAAAATACGTACAAGAAAAAAAACGGAGATCTACTTTTGGAGCACTACGCATGTGAACATAGATCTGCTTGGACAGTTTAAGGGTTAAATAAGCAATGCGTACAGACATCAATATTCACTGCAAGCAGTTTAAAACTAAAAGCTTAGTATTTCACTTTACTCTCTAATTACTGTGAAACTGACACTTCTTTACCTTACTTTTACTGACTGCTGGACTTCGTAACTGACACTATTCTTCTTGTATTTCATATTACTTTTACTCTGACTATGCTACAATCTTGATTTAAAGGGTCCAAATTTTAAAAGGGATTTTGAATTTAACAAACTAAAACTTGTGGCTAGACGAAATCTGGAAGCAACAAAGTCCTTTAAATCTAAAATTGTTCATTTTTGTTACTGTCATGGACAAGAATCTTATTGCTCTGATTTAACTTATAGTTGGCTTTTTAATGGACACCCTCTATCATTAGACCATTAAATGGGTTTAACTGTACCAAAATTTATTACCATGAGGCAGTGTGGCTTCACTGAATTTAGGGGAATATTTTGTGTGCAAGGGACTTGGATATATAGCAGGCATGTGTGAGCATGTTAGATAGGGATGAATGGAGACAAAAGGGTTTTTGGGAACTTGATGAGTTGTGGAGTGTGAATAGGGTAATATTTTTTGAAGGGATTCAGGGGAAACTGGTTAGCCGGACTTGAGTCCTGGAGGTGGGAAGTACAATGCCTGCACTTTAAAGGAGGGGTTAGGGGTATATGCTGTTTGGAGTGTCATCTGAACTGTCGTATTTTTAGCACCCCTGCAAAGGCAGTGATTGTGTGAATGATGGGTGAAAGTGTTTTTCTGTTGTGGGTCACCCTGCCTCGGTA